GAAAAAGTGTAAAAACGCATTGCGGCGTACCCTAAAAGCTACGGCACGAGGCGGGATTAGAACCCGCGATCGATGGAACGGTAGGCGAACACTCTACCACTCGGCCACGGATCAGTTGATAAGGACGGCCGGTCTGCAGCGCGGATAGGAAACGCGCTTCGTGCAGCTTGCCGGCGCTCAGTTGACTCGCCGGAACTCCGCGCGGAAACGTGCAAAAATCGTAACTTTAAAAATCGATATCTCGAGAACGGTTGGGAGGTGGCGGCTAAAAAAAAATACGTCAACCTTAGATTTGTCTCTTCTTCATGTACAAGCAAAATGAACCCAATCCCAGGATGTCACTTCGTAGACTCCCCTTGTGAGTTCCACTTGTTGACGAAGTTTTGTGCGAAGCGGATGTGTGTTGACGGAATTATAAGGCAAGTTCACTTTTCATGCGAAAAATATCGATTTTTTTAGTATTTGTATTGTCTATTGTGAGTAGAATAGTTGATTGAAAAAATCGGACAGGCATCATATCAAAGTGTTATAGTGTTGGCTTTAATAATCCGTAGTTATTTTCACACCTCAGGCCTTGGGCTCAAAGTTTTAGTTTATGCTGTCCAATGTTTACAAATGGGGCAAGAATACGCAGCCAGAATGGGGCAAAAGTACGCGCCCAAAAGTGGGGCGTAGAGGGGGGGGGGTGTAAGGGAACTTCAAAATAGAAGATGTAGGCAACTCAGTATTTTAATACATTTTTATGTTCCTTTGTTCAATTTGGGCACTTGAAACTTTTTTCTTTTTCCTGTTAAAAAAAAAATTGACTTTGAACTTTCACTTGACAATTTTTTTGTTTGATTAAGAAACAATGCGAATTTATTCTCAAGTATCATCGTGAATTTTCTTCACTTTCTGCCACATGTTACCTTTAATTTGTAATATTTTTACTTTTTGGATTCCTTTTCCTGTTCCATCCTTCTTTTTATACGTACCTTTATAGTGGGAGACATAGCCCTGCTTCTTTGTTCTCTTTCATATCATTCATGGTACTTAATTAAGAACACACATAATATACACAAAATATTTTCATTAAACAAGTTACCGAAAATTGTATGTTTTTTGTCAAGCCACTGAGTTGGTGCCAATGTGATGAAGAACTGAGATCCATTTGTGTTAGGCCCAGAGTTTGCCATTGATAGTATACCAGCACCTACAGAAAAATCAGAACTAATTTAGTGCAGTGAAATAAAACATTCCTATCTGCTTGAGGAGATATGATAGATTGAAGAGACAAACTCTCTCATGTTTTATGGGCTCTCCTTCCAGAGCCCTCCTCTTTTGTTCATCATAGTACGCCTTTAGAGAGAAAAAAATACTCTAAAACTGACTTTTGAGCATCATTTAAAATGGATATGTACAGCTCAAATGAGCACTAAGTATTGAAAAATTGAAGGCAATATAGTTGCTTCTAAAAAACAAAAAACTACAGAATATTAATTTACCTGTATGTCTGAGATCTTCATGGATTTCATCATCAAAATGTTTTCCATAAATAGATTGCCCACCTTTGCCTGTGCCAGTGGGGTCACCTCCTGAAACAGATAATTTGATTTCTTACAAAAAACCTAATTTAGGATAAGCTGAGATAGAGATAAATAAATAAATCAAGTATTCAATGGTACACGAAAGCTTTGAGGGGCTGCGTTACAAGTCAGCATAGGGAAAAGACAAAAAATGAAAAAAAGTACACAATTATGACAAAAAAGTACAAAAGCACAAAATTATGACGAAGGATCTGTACCTACCTAGACGACACGCAAAAAAGAGAAGAAAGGAAAAGAAAAATGAAAATGCTTCTTTGATGAAATGGATCAGTATGCTGGTGAAAACATAGTCATCAGTATCTGATAGAAGGAATCCCAACAAATGAAAAGACAAAAAATGTTGATTAATAATAATCTCTTAAACTTCTCAGAACATCTCACATAGTTTTTAACAGTTGCATTAAGTGTTCACACAATTTTAAAAATTATCATTAATTTGAACTATGGACATGTCAGCCATAGGTGATTGACACAAATATTTCTGCATGCAGGCGCCTGTGTGACCCTTGTATTGGGTAAGTATACTTCCAAATATTCTTGGAAGTCAACTAGAACTTTGCAACATTTCAATTAAAACAAAGTAAGTATTTCTTGAATCTCTGATTTTAAAGAAAAACATTCTATGCTTACCTTGAATCATGAAATCTCTGATTATCCTGTGAAATTTGGTTCCATTGTAGTACCCTCTTCGCGCGAGCTCAGCAAAGTTGCGACATGTGTTTGGTGCATGCTTCCAGTACAATTCAATGACTATTTCTCCCATCCTGTTTCGAAAAAAAAATTAGAGAAATTAAGGACTTAATCTGCATACTATCAAGTTAGTAATGTACCCTTTGTGTACTTCCGACAGCGGTAATGCTTTGGCTGAAAATCAGTGTTGTGAAAAGAGGTGGAGGTATCGTCAGATAGGTTGGCAGTTGTTTACTTTTGACTGTCACAAGCACTAGACCGATTTCTATTTCTGCGCGCAGCATCGAAGTTGCCCACAGCTATGACTTTAGCCTTGACCTCCTTGATGGCTATTAAACGACTCCAATGCAGTCACTTGCAACGGAAAGTAAACAACTGCCAGCTTATCTGACGACACCTCTATCAATATTCTGTAGGACACTGTTATACGTCAAAGTAAATGGCTGCTCTTGAATCAATGAGGAGCAAAGGTGTATCGGATGAACCAATTGGTGTGATAGCAGTATACCGGGCACAAGTTAATCTCCTCACATATTTCATACGTTTTTCACTGGGCTGGCCTATTAAAAAAAGCGGAGGCAGATAAAAAATCCAGGAATACTTCAGGTATTAAAGACTTATGGTGTCTAAGTGCAGAGAAAAGAGAAGAGACAGGCATGTGCGAAGCAAATTTGTCTCTATCCAAAGTAGACCATGTCAGTGATACATAAATTCATACTTTCAGAAGTATAGTGAGTATCTCTGAGCATGCAGTCCCAATCAGCTTAGATAAAGATCTCCATTTGCAAGAGAAAAAAAATTTCACATGGACCATTATCAATCCCAGACATTGTTGAACTTTAATATGTCGAGTTTGTGTGCATTACTGAATGATTCACCCCGAGCTAGTGAGTTATGTCAGACAATAGTCGAACTGAAGTTGCCTAGCTTCAACAATGTTTCTCCTGCTCTACCCGCTAGTTTAACAAAGACGCTAAATAATGGTCAAAAGAAAGCTGTAATGAGAGCTTTCCAGGCTGAATCTTATATGCTAATAGAGGGCACGCCTGGTTGTGGCAAAAATGCCTTCCTCCCTTTGATTCTGGCTAAGACTGTGACATGTACAATCTCGTTAGTTACGCAGCTACATGAAATTCTTCAATACTAAACATTTCTGCACGAAATACTGGGTGCCTGCAAAATACTCTATGGTTAATAAAAATGTAGGCCCACAGAAAGAAAAAGAGATGTCAAATTTCAGCTTACGATGTTTCCAAGATAGCAAATTTGGGTTGCCAAATTTTGTCTGG